ACCATTGACCCCATATCGCTAATAGCAAGGCGTAAGAATTAATGGAGCCAGTTCAAACTTAGAAGGAAATGACACCTAGCTGGCCTTGGACAACTGAAACCATAACGATGAAATGTCAAAAGCCAAATGCTTACCCTCATTTCTCGATCCAATTCGGGTACAATGAGAAGGGTTCGCCAGCCTCCTGCTTTCTTTGACCTAAGCTCATTGGTTTTTATTCTGGTGGTAATTTTATTATTGTATGAATCGTGAGTATTCGGCTTGGATCACTTCGATAATCATTTCATCTAATCGNAGGGAGAATGCCGCGATAGGAGAGAAGTTCCGTTACCCGTCAAACCCGGTACGCTACAGCTCGCACTCGCAGCGTCAACCCGCAATTCAAGGCAAACGTCGCAGTTGTCAATGGGGCATACGANCCTATACAATGTCTAGCGTGGCCGGCCAATTTAATAGTCAGGGTTTTTACCCTCTTAGACGAATCTAGTACCAGTTAATCGACCTGGAGAAGTGGAAATCTTGGTTGGCCTAGGATACTGATAGATAATAACCCACTGTTCTCCATCTTTCAGGAAAAATATCCTAATCGTTGGCTGATCCAAAAAGGAAGAGTGGATAAGCAGAAGAGTTAGCTGCACTCTAGGCCTATTTTAAACATATGCGATGGCAAGTAATGTTCATACTTACATCGAACGAAACAATCATTGAAGGACCATAATTCCATTCAGCGTTATAGTGGCGTTTTGAAAGCTTATGTGGCATACACTATGGCATGGGTGGCTAGTCGATGAGCAAGTCAGTGCCCTGCTAGACGAGTCTGGTTCCAATTAGGTGACTCTAAAGGGATGGAACTTGGTTGAGGATATATGTCTAGGATTCGGTCCCTGAACCATGTGATCGTGGACCATTGACCCCATATCACTTGTAGCAAAGCGTAAGAATAAATACAGCCAACTCAAATCTAAAATAGAATGACACCTAGCCGGCCTCATACAACTGGAAACATAATGATGAAATGTCAAAAGCCAAAAGCTTACCCTCATTTCTCTATCCAATTCGGGTACAATGAGAAGGGTTCGCCAACCTCCTGCTTTCTTTGACCTGAGCTCAATGGTTTTTATTCTGGTTGTGATTTTATTATTGTATAAATCATGAGTATTTGGCTTCGATGACTTCGATAATCATTCCATCTAATCGAACTGTTTGGAAGAGCCCTCTACTGAGGACAACCCGTGCATATCCTCAGTAGAGGGCTCTTTGCCTTATGAAAGCGGCATGACTTAAGGAATTGAGTACAGTTTGAAGTGCTAAGCCCCTTCACAATATCTGATTATATCAATCTTATTAGAAGCTCTGTAATTAATCACTTCAGAACATCTCCGAAGATATGATCGCCAACATAGAGAATGTCTTTTCCTGCTAAATCCATCTGTCGCTTGAAGTCAGAAGCACATCCTAAATTATAATGAGCTAGATTGAAAGCGAGCCTCACAACAAAGTCTTTTTGGGATTTCACTTATTAACCACATATTTATTATGTTTTTATATTGTCCCAAATAAATAGAAGAACGGGGCTACGCTCTGCTTGTAAGCCAAAACCCCTCCGTTGACTTTTACATGGCTATCCTTACTATATATAAACCACAAGTTTGGTGTGTCTGTTTGTCTGTTTGTTTGTTTGCCCGTCACGAAATTCGGTATCATCTTAAGAAGCGCCTGGAGAGATCGGAAGAAGTTCGGGATGGGTGGAGCCTAAGATGAGAACAACGGAGCACATATGAGCTCTGCGGAGCTCCGCCCACAGGGGGCGGGGCAGGTGCCGAATGGGCGGTGCGAATAGCCAAACATCTTATTTTGGTTTCTAAAAAGGTCCAGACACCGGGAAAAAATGTCCAAAGGTGAGAATTGGGTCAACAAATCAGACGGAGGAGGCACACATGGTGTGGGCGGAGCTTTCTCAAAATGGGCGGTACTTTTCAGATGTATTCATAGCTCGATTCAA